AGGGGCGGGGCCCAATAGGGGAAATAGAGGATTTTTTTTCTCCTGCTATACAAGTGAAGGGATTTTAACCAAATGCAGTCTGAAGCATGATTAGGGACAAAAGAATCAATTTTGTATAAACTGAGGTGTGTGGGCCTCCTTCTAAGGGCAGATGGGTGGGGCCCATTAGGGGAAATAGAGGAAAACATCAAATATCCTTCTCCTTTTGTACCGATGAAGGGATTTTGACCAAATTTGGTCTGGAGCATCATTGGCCAAAGGGTTCTCAGTTTTGTATGAACGGAGGGTATGGTCCCCCTGGGGGCAGAGGGACGGGGCCAAATAGGGGAAAATAGGTAAATCTTTAAAAATCTTCTCCTCAACCAATTGAAGGATTTTGACCAAATTTGTCCTAGAGCATCTTTGGACAAAGGAGACTCAAGTTTGTATAAACGGAGGGTGTGGGCCTTCTGGCGGCATAGGAGCGGGGCCCAATAGGGGAAATAGAGGATTTTTTTTCTCCTACTATACAAGTGAAGGGATTTAAACCAAATGCAGTCTGAAGCATGCTTAGGGAGAAAAGAATCAATTTTGTTTAAACTGAGGTGTGTGGATTCCCCTTCTTTGGGGCAGATTAGTGGGGCCCATTAGGGGAAATAGAGGAAAACATTAAAGATCCTTCTCCTTCTGTACCGTTGAAGGGATTTTAACCTAACCAAACTTGTTTTAGAGAATCTTTGGGCAAAGGGAATTGAATATTTATAAATGGAAGATGCAACTTTGTTACTTGTACTCCTTTGATAAACCTGAATGGTACTCAGCAGGTTTTAAATTGAAAAATAAAATACCAGGTGAGCTATTAAGGCCCCTGGGCCTCTTGTTTATATCCCCTGCAACAAAGTTAGGGGGGTATACTGGAATCAGGTTGTCTGTCCGTCTGTCTGTCCGTCCGTCCGTCCGTCTTTGGATGCACTGTAGTACCGTGTACTCCTCCTAAACTGCTGGATGGATTTCAATGAAATTTGCTGATAACAATCCTTGCAGCTTGGAAATGTGTGTAAAGTACTTTTCATTGGGTTATCTCCCCTTTTTACGATGTTATGGCCTTTGGGTACATAAACCTCCTCTAGACCATGACATTGTATAGAAAACGCAAGAACTTTTTTATTTTTTATTTTTATTTATTTCCTTTCAAATTTGGTATGGAAATACTAGAAGGCTTTAATGCAATCTACTCTACTGACACTTTCCGAGGTTGTGGGGTCGGAGGTCAAAGGTCATACTTTGTATACACATACCTTGGAGTAAATGTAGCATTGATGCAAGCTACATTGTGACAAAATTCCAAGGTCATTGAGTCAAAGGTCAAAGGTCACAGTAGTGGTGTTTGTCTTTTCCATGGGTCTGTCTATACAACATCTGATGTTAGACTTTTTCATGGTATATTTTTCCCTTGTTTATTTAGCTCCTACAGTGGCAACAAGCAGCCGGAATGCGGGGGTATTAGTTAGCCCATAGGCGACAGTTCTAGTTAGCCCACCATCATCAGATGGTGGGCTATTCAAATTACCCTTTGTCTGTGGTCATCTGTCATTCCTTCATTCTATTAATTCATCTGTCTGTCCTTAAACAATTCTTATTAGCGCTATTTCTGCGCAAGCGCTTGGTACTGAAGGGATCTTTCTCAAATTTCACATGAATGTTCCCCATGGTCCCTTTTTATGCATATTAAAATTGCAGGACAAGATGGCCGAGAGGCAGCAGTCTTGAATTTTGCATGTTAAAGTTTGTTGGCGCTATTCCTAAGAAAGTACTGGAGGAGTCTTCCTCAAATTTATTTGATGGTTAGTCATGGTCCTTAGATATGCAAATTGAATTTTTAGCCTGATCCGAAAATAAAGATGTTCATTATGTTCTCTAATAGAATTTTGAGAGATTATAATAATTGCTAGCACTATTTCTCAGAAAAGTACAGGAGGGATCTTTTTAGCTCACCTGGTCCGAAGGGGCAGAGGGACG